CAGCAACACCTTGACCCTGAGGTCTGTTCCAGGGCCATACCTCCATGTGCTCAATGTGTCTTAGGTGGGAATTCTTCGTAGCCAGCAGCAGCCCCCGGGCCTCATCAAGCTGGGTCTTCACTTGCAGAGACTCGTTGTAGAGCAGTGAGAACTGGGCCTGCAGCATTCGGTACTCCCCTGTTTCCCTCACCACCTCCTCGGGAAGGCTCCGCAGGGCAACCTAGGACCAGGGTGCCCAAAAGCGATCAGCAAGAGGATTCAGGACCCAGCCGCTACACCTCGCAGGTTCAGGCCCTCCCAGTCCTAAACAGAGCCCACCTTGAGGCGCTCATTGGTCCGCACAGCCCCCTGAAGTTCGGCCTGCAGCTTCTCCAGCTCTGCCATACGGCTGTTGGCCAATTCCTGGTTTTCCTCCAACTCTGCATTCAGCATCTCAAACTGTGGAATGGGAGGAGCTGTGGGAGGCAGGGCCAGGCCAGGATGCCTGCTTCCCTCACATCACCACCACATGTGGGCAATGATGGATTCTGAAGCCCCACAGACAAGCCAAACCCAAGCACTTTCCTAAGGGCTCCCAGGTAAGTGGGAGAAAATACTGCATGGTCAGTGCTGGGAACCAAGGCTCATAACTGACAGGGAATCAGGGGAAGCCTTCTTGAAAGACCTGAAAAGGAACCTGAAATAAGGAGTTAACAGGGAACAATGAACCTTACAGTATCAAAAAAATGTGCAATGAACAAGAAGCGAGAGCCCTCTGTGAGACACCTCCTTCAGCCAGCCAGCTAAGAATGCCAGTCAGCTCCAATATACTTTCATTTGTCTGTCTTTTTTCTAAGATTTATTTTCATGTGTGAGAGAGAGCACGTGTGCACGTGTGGACAAGTGGGGGAGGGCGAGGGGTAGAGGGAGAAGCAGGCTCCCCGAAGGGCAGGGAGCTCGACATGGGGCTCAATCCCAGGACCCTGGGAGCATGACCCGAGCCAAAGGCAGACACTTAACCAACTGAGCCACACAGGCGCCCCCATTTGTTTCCTTTCTATGCTTTTCCTTTGGGTCACCTGTAACCACCTGATGAACTATCTTACTTCTTGTTTGTTCCCCCCACCAGAACCTATGCTCCATGAAACTTTTGCTTTTTGTCTCTTTTGTTCTCTGATGCTTACTTCCAAGCACCATGCTTAGGACTTAATGTTAACAATTACTTATTAAATACACAAATGAATAAAACAGAGCATCATGAACGACAAGGAAGGGACTCAGACCATGCAGATGGTCTGTCCTTAATTCTGAGGGGACTTTCATGGGTGGGGCAGAGAAAAGGTTACAGGAGGGATTGGGAAGAATGGTGCCTGCTCACCTTCTGCATGCTGAGTGTGATCTGGCCCCCCTGGAAGCCGGAGGAGCTCCCAGACACATAGTAGCCAGAGTTGAGCTGTGGAGAGACAGACCGATGGGGGTGGAGGAGAGAAGCAAGGGCTCCACGTACCCAGCCGTGGCTCCATCTGACCCAGCACCCAAGCCCCACCTGCTCCAAGGCCTCCGCCAGGTGCTTATTCAGCTTCTGCTCACGCTTGCGCAGCTTCTCTATGTCCCACTGCAGGTCCTCCACCGTCGTCTCCATCTCCAGCACCTTGGTCTCTGCTGATGTCACTTTATCCTGGAGCTCAGAGTACTGGGGACAATGACAGGGTGAGATGCTTAGAGGAGGGGACTTGGCTCCCTGAGAGCCTTGGTGCACGTCTAACCCAAACCCTGCCCTGATTTTAATCCCACCTCCAACGAGATGCGATGGTGCTTCTCTTGTAGCTGGGTGGCCAAGTCCTGCAGCCGCCGGTTCTCACGACCCAACTCACGCGTGCGTGCCCGAGCCACCTCACCGGGGGGCTCACTGTCCCCTGAGAAGGCAGGGCTCGGGTAAGAGCCAAGTCCAGGGCAATGGGGCAAAGTACTAACTCATTCTGGAGTCTGCTATGTGCCCAGTGTGATCCACCAGCTGTCTTGCCAATTTCTCATGACAAAGCCAGGAGTCTGTATCTCCACTGCACAAAGGAGGAAACCAGCTCAGAGAGGAGAGCCACCTGCCCAGAATGACAGGACTAGGGCTGGGAGAAGCCTGTCAGCCTGCAAAGCCTGGGCCCTTGCTACTGTGCCTTGTGGGTCAGCAACTGCAACCAAAATCTGTGCAAAGGGTTCTAAAGAGGTCTCCAGCTGGAAGCCCTAGCCCCATAAGCATCAACAACTCCTCCCACCCAGCTCTCTAGAGCTGAACCCCATGAACCAAAGACAGAGCCCCATCTACAACCTACCCCTTTCCCTGAGAAAGTGGCTGATTTACTCCTCAGAGAATTATGGCTGCCTCTGGGCTCGGGCATTGAGGGGATACAAGCAGGACACAGATGGGGACAGACACGTCTGCGGCGGGACACAAAGAACTAACCTCGGCTGTATACTCGCTGACAGAGTTCCTCCACCCGGCGCTGTAGGCGGTCTGAAGCCTCTACGACACGGGACACAGCTGCCTTGGAGAACTCCATTCGGCCCTGGAGCTGCAGCTCCACCTCCTCACTACTGCTGGCGCCCAGTGCTACCACAAAAGCCAAGGCTGGCTCACTGAGGGGGGGCCGCAGCTGCACTGGCAGGGGCTCTGCGAGAGAGGGACAGACCCTCATGAAGATCTCAGGAGGAGAACAGCAGCAGTCACCACCACTCCACAGCAAGTTCCAGACTGAGCCCTTCGACACTTTATGGCCACTGAATCAGCACAAGCAATGCCCATCATCAATGTCAAACTACGGAGTCTCAGGAAGCTAAAGTAATTTTAAGGCCACAGAGCTTCCAAATCATTCCTCAGGGAAGACTTCTCCGCCTTCACAATCTAAATTAGAACCACACACGAGTGCACATATACTAATTCTCTTTCAAGGCCCCCTCTTCTTTTTACTTATGGTTTAAAATCACTTCCTCCCTGATGGCTGAGGCAGTATTTCTTTTCGCTTATCTTTATCTCTTCAGAGGCTGTAACAGTACTAACTACACAGCTAACACTCGATATTAATACTTTTTTGAACTAAATGAGGGTCAAACATGACATGCACTATGAACCAAGTCACTCAGATTCCACAGCCTGGGGCCTGGGTTCTTACTGCATTTCGCTGTCCAAACATGAAGTCAAATGTGTGTGCGTGTGTGTGTGTGTGTGAGTGAGAGAGAGAGAGAGAGAGAGAGAGAGAGAGAGAAAGAGAGAAAGAGAAGGGTGGTGGGGGAATTCAGAAGACTAATATAAAAGTTCCCTCCTCTCCAGGACCGTTCCCAGGGCTTAATTAAGCTCCCCACATCCTAGGGCTCTGGCCCTACCCCTCAGCTCCGATGTCCCTGGCTCTGTGAGAGGGGTCTCATCACGTGTCGGCCCCTCCTGGGTCCCAGGCGCCTCTGTCCCTGAAGACAGCTCCCCCTGGCTCTCATGGTGTCGGAGAAGGGCTTCCACAGTTTCATCCAGCTGAAGGGAGAAAGCACCAAAAATATTATGAATCCCTCAGGTGCTTCCCAGCATGATACTCCTTTCCCAGCAGAGTAGTCTGAGGACTGGCAGCTGGATCAAGGCCAGGTCTTGGAAAGCAGAGGGGCATCCACCTGGGCCCAGTAGCGATTGACAATGAGGAGTGTGGCATCATCGGTGGCCTGCCGCTTCTCCAGCTTCTCAATTCGTTCTCGGAGTTCATCTTCACAAGCCTGTCGCTGTTCCAACCGCTCTGCCAGTTTCTTGTTCTTGAACTGCAGAACCTTCAGGTCCATCTCCTCCTACCAAGGAAAACAAAGGGGACGAGGAGAGGGTCAAGCAGGGCCCAAGAAACCAATCACAGAGAGAGACAAAAGAAAGCAACTGGAACGGAGAAGAGAGTATCCCCAGACTAACCACTGACAAGATTTAAAGAGATTCAGGCACCGACAGAGAAAGCATCTTAATTGTGAGGAGATTCAAGTTCTGCTTCTCTAATTCTCAAGTCTTTGACAAGTCACACGCCCTCTGCGAATCTGTTTCCCTATCTGTAAAAAGGCAGACGTCATGTCCTCGGTTTCCTTCAACAGAGTGTTCTGTAAAGTGGATCCTGCTAAGCTTGGGGGAACTGGGAGTAAAAGTTCTAGACGATTTGAGCGGAGAACAGAGATAGGAGTCCGGCAAGTTGTGAGGACTGGGGCAGGAGCCCACGAACCGTGGAAGAGATGCCCCCAAGACGAATGGGCTCTATAAGCGTGGTCGTGGTCTTCTCCTCGCGGCTCAGCTTCTTCTCTGGGGGCCCTGAGCCACCGTCGCCGGCGGCGCGTTTGTTGCCGGGTCCAGACATGGCCGCGGCTACGAGGAGCGGCGCAGGATCTCCCGAGGGACGTCAGGCAGGCGTAGGCGGCACTTCCGTCACCTGCAGAAGACAGAGAACAGAGATGTAGAGGTGGCCAGCGCTCCGCAGCCCCAAGCCTTCCCCGCACACACCTGCTGGATCCCGACCCCGCCTGCCCCTGGCCCCTCACCGGCAGCAGGCTCAGCCTAGCGCCATCTTGGACTTCGCCAGACGTCACCGGCCTCCTCAGCCCAGAGCGCAAGCGCCGCAGGCAATGCCGGATGTGGCGAGATTTCATTTCCTGTTTCTATTGGTCGCGCTTTGTCCCGCCTCTCGGGCCCCGTTTGGTTTCTTCCTGAACACCACCTCTTTCTTTCGGTGATTGGCCAGCCGACAGTTCCCGTGGCAACTGACACGACACTCACATCCTCCAGCCCTGAGGGCATCACCTGCCTCCCGTTAGCCGCTTTGAAACGAGGGCACGGGGGCGGGGCTTGAAACTTATTGCGCACGCGCATTCTCTTCTCACTGATTGGCGAGCGTCCTACACTTGCTCCCTCCCTCCACGAGCTCCCTTAGCAACGGTCGCCGTTGAGACGGAGGGAGACGCTCCCTGCGGATTGGCTGCACGAGGCCTCTCTGCGGCGTAGATTGGCTGAGGCGTCGCTGGAGGGAGGACTTGACAGTCGAGGCTCAAGAACCGGCATTCCCAGGACTCGGGCGGGACACAGCCTGTGGTGAGCCGCGGCTAGGAAAAGCGACGAGATGATCCGCCAGAAGTTCAGCCAATTCATGGCACTGAAGATACAGTCGGAGCTTGAACAGCCCTCAGAACTGCAGCGGGAACCCCAGGAGGACCTTAGCTCAGTGGGTGGGTCCGTCACGCGGATGATAACAGGTGTGCGGACCGAGTCCAGAACCGCGGCCTCGATAGAAGCGGATGAAGATCCTGCAGCCAACTTGTTCCCGGTGAGGATGGGACAGAGTGGTCCGCTCATGAATGTTTATAAAAGGGCTGCGCGGCAGGGCGTCACCCGTCGTTATGTTTATTAACGTTCAAGACATTTCCTGGGTGCCTTGGTGAAGAGGCAGGGGTGTGTGACTCCGATTGTTAAATGCTCATGAATAGTACTTAGGGCCTTTTGAAGCCTGGCCTGCCAGTGTTGCTCGTACATAATCCTTAAAATGAGAAGGCAAGTTAGCGGGTTCTCAGGCCAGCTGGAGATTCCGGACGGGTCAGGGGCTGGGGCCAGGGACGGCACAGCTCCGCCTGCCCATTCCGTTTTCTTTCCGCAGCCCCCGTTGCCCCAGCCCCGTATCTGCATGTGGTGAGTGTGAAGAATCTTGGGGTTTCCTGCCTCTCCAGTCCAAAGAGGGAGGGTGGGAAGAAGACTAAGGATGTAAATGCAATATCAACTGCTATGGAGCACTGTATAAAGGGAGACACTGAAGCCACACGGGGAGTGGCAGAGACAAGAACTCAAGTTTCCTAATCCTCAGCTTTATAAATGAAGAGGATCGTAAGAGTTCCTTTAAGCCATATCCCTTATTTAAAGATGGAGAAAGTTACACCCAGAGAGGAAGTGACTTGCCCAGAGAGGGTAGTGGAAGGGCTAACCCTCAAACTCAGGTCTCCTGGTTCCCAGTCCAGTGCTCTAGCCATCACAGCCTTCTCATGAGACTAATGCCTGACGGCCACAAACACCTTTTCTCCTCTTTTCTTATGACAGGAAGTACCTGGACATCCATTCCATGCACAGGCTGCAGAAGACAGCCAACACTGAGGAGATGAGGGAGTATGGGGGTGGACAGGGAAGAGCAGAAGCACTGGCTCCTGGGGAAGGCTAAGGGGGCTGGGTGGGGAAGGCATGAATGCCCGGCTCCAGAGCACGTGGTGCACCAGTGTGGGGTGGTAAAGGGGGGCTGGCTCAGGCCTGCCTTCCTGTCTCCCTCCCAAGGGTGCTAGCTGAGCTCTTGGGGCTAAGCTATCCTGAGCAAAGCCTGCGGGATGCCATCACCCTGGACCTCTTCTCCCACGCACTCCTCTTCTGCCGCCAGCATGGCTTCTCACTGGAACAGACATCGACAGCTTGTGCCCTGCTCCAAGATCTTCACAAGGCCTGTGTTGGTGAGAGGAGGCGGCTACCAAAGGGTTTGAGCCCAGGCGACAGTGGAAGCTGGGATGGCACAAGTGACCACAGGAAGCAGTAATGGATTACCACCTGGAATCTTTGTTCTGTCATTACAAGCACTATTGTAATGACACCCACACAGTAACTTGTGTGTGACAATTTGTGCAGTGACAGCACCAACTTTATGAGATTGTTCTGAGGAACACTGTAGCTAATATACGTAAATATAGACAGTGCTCAATAAACTAGCTCCTCCTCCACCTCCCACTTCATTCCTGGAACTGATTTCCTGCAGAATGTTTAACAAGAGCTGAAATCACGTATTTCTTGTTTTATTGTATGTCACTTAAGGGCAGGACCTCGTCTGTCTTGTTCAGTGCCTAGAACAGTGCATTGAGGTACTATCTGTTGAGTGAGTTAATGAAACAAGTAAGGACTTAAACTTAGATCTGTTAATTTCTGAGGCTCATGCTCAATAAGTAGCTGGTGAGTGAGTGAAATGAATGATTATCTGGGAGGGGACTCACTTGTCACATCTTGCTTTCCCTCCCAGCAACCCCCTTGGGCAACGTGGAGGAATGTTACCGCTACTTCACCAGTGTCCTTTTTTGCCACGGAGTCAAGGTCAGTTCCCCTGAAACGGGATCTTCAGTATCCCACAGAGAAGGTCTAGCCCCGTCTCCTGTCCTCTCTCACACTCATCACCCTCATCTTCCTCTGAAGGCTGCCGGGGGTAATCCCTGCTCCTAAAGGGCTGGCCACTTGGAGAAAAGGTCAGGATGCCTGGAGGTGGTCAGTCGTCTAACTCCCACTCATCCCCACAGCGGCCCCCCTTCAGTATCAACCTCTTTAGGGAGGAACAGCTGCTGGCCCTGGCAGATTATGTGGTCAACACCTACTTCCGCCACTTCAAGCTCTACAAATACGTCTTCACACCCCAGGTACGGAGGCCACTTTTCATCTCCCCCTTTCACTCAGTGCAGATGTCCTCCTTCTCAGCCTCTCTCCTCCTCCCTCTTCTCAGGTGCGGCTGGATCTATCTTTGACTTACGTGGGGCTACAGCCACCCAAGCTCTGGCCAGAAGATGAGACAGGTAAGGGAGAATGCTGGGGCTGGGGCTGGGGCTGGGGCTGGGGCTGGGGCTGGGGCTGGGGCTGAAGCCTCCTCCTGCTTCCGGCCTGCAGAGAAAGGCGGCGAGGAGGCGAAGGAGCAGGCAGTCACCCCGCAGGAGGAACCAGAAGCAGCGGTCCTGCCAGAGCCACAGCCAGAGCCAGAGCCAAGTGAGGATGGGTTAGGGTCCTCCGTGACTTTGGGCAGGCATAAAATGAAGGGTTTAGACCACATCAGGACTTCAGGTCTGTTTTAGGTACAGTGTCCTTTCTCCAAATGATTCCTTATGCAGAAGTCCAAGGTGACAAACAGGTAATAAGAGTGCAGCTGCTGGGGGTGAGGCAGGAGCTCCAGAAAAGGATCATTATAAAACCGATGACGGGGGCACCTGGGTGGCGCAGTGGGTTAAGCAGCCGATTCTTGGTTTCAGCTCAGGTCACGAGCTCACAGCTCACGGAGTCTGCTTGAGATTCTCTCTCCCTCTCCTTCTGTCCCCCCTGCTCGTATGTGCGTGTGCGCACACTCTCTCTCTCTCTCAAATAATCTTTAAAAAAATTTAAAAAACCAATGACAGCCAGCACATATTTGGCAATACTGTGGTGCCAGGCAGGCCCTGTTTTAAGCATTTTACATTTAATCTTCCTTCAGGCCTAGGCACTAGGTGCTATCACTATCTACACTGTACACAGGAGGAAACCGAGGTATGCAAAGATGAAATCACCTGGTAAAGTCACTTATCTGCTGATCAGCAACCCAGAGAGTCCAGCCTGGCCAGTCCCCCCCCATCTCTCTCCACAGAAGGGTTAGCTGGCCTTTCCTGAACTGAAGCTACCCTGCCACCTGTGTAGCCCCACAGCATCTCTGCTCACCTGCCCCTTGCTCCCTGCCCCCAGCAGGCCAGGTCTCCATCCTGCAAGCCTACATCAGGACCCAGATGAACAAAGAGCTGAGGCAGCTCCAACAGCTGATGGAGGAGCGGCTCCAGGCCAGCGAGGAAAGGCTCAGCAGCAAGTTGACCACACTAGAGCAGCCCTTCCAGCTACCTTCCGGCAAAGGCAAGAACAAGACCAAGTGACCCCCAGCATTTTCCCCAATAAAGGGCCGGGGCAGGGCAGCCCCATCACCCCCCCCCCCCGCCTCCCAAGCACCTTCTGGGCTCCCCTGACGAAGCTGGACACCAGACACCGGGCACTGGCTCCCTCCGGCGTGCAGATTTTATTGCAAATGCAGCAGAGGCAGCATTGACAAGGCCAGGCATGCTGTTGCGCGCGACTGCCTTCCCCCTCAGTTCCGATCCCAAAGTCCTGGCTGGTGGGGACAGGTGTACACAGCTGGTCTTTATGGTGGTATGAGCAGTGGTGGGCCTGGCCAGGCAGGGGGGGCCTGAGGCCAAAGCCCAGAAGGGCTGGAATGATAAAAACCCTCCTCCTGGAGAGTCCTGCACTCTGGGGTTCCCCAGGGCCAAAGTGCTAGCCCAGTGCCAGCATGGCATCCTCCTCAGTGATAGCAGCTGAGTCCCCCTCCTCTTCAGGGCCCAGGATGGGAAAAGGCCCAGGGGGCTGGTGCTGGAAGAGGGCGGCTCGGTTCTGTTGCTCACCTTTCTTCACCCAGTGCCCGTAGAGCCGGAAGGCACAGCTGTCGATGAGGTGCCGCACTGGCCGCAGTGCGTAAGGGTCCCTCAGCAGTGCACTCTTGGTCAGTGGCCGGACACGCTGGGTGCTTAAGGCCACTCGTCCAGCAGCAAGCACGGTCCACACTGCCACCTGGCGGGGGGGGGGGGGCGGGCAGTGTGAGCTCCAGTGGAGCAGCCACCACGAGAGAAAGATCGCGGGACAGAGGAGCAGGCCCAGACCCTGATGCTCTCAGGCTTACCCGGAACCGCTGGCGAGGGGTGAGGTTCCAGGGTTGGCTGCCTTCACAGCGCTCAAAGAAGGGGTGCTGGAGGGCTTGCTCAGCTGTCAGGCGCTCCTCAGGATCCACCTGGAGCAGCTTTGAGATCTAGGGGAAACCCCAGAGCATGAAAGGCAGCTCTTGGACCTCCTTCCTAGCCCTCTCATGGCCCCAGCTCACCAGGTCTTTGACGGTGTTGGAACGGTCATCCCACTCGGGCGAACTAAACTGGTATTGGCCCTCCATGATCATGCGTAACATCAGGATCTGGCGTCGGTGCCAGAATGGTGGTGAGCCAGCCAGGAGTGTAAACAAAATCACCCCACAGGCCCAGCTGGGAAAGAGAGCGGAGTCAGGCAGGACTAGGTGCCAGGCAGATGTGTTGAAAGATGGGACACAAAGGAGGAAGGAAGTAGGGAGACCAGAAACTCACAGGTCGACCTCCTTGCCGTAGCCGGGGTGGGTTTCATCCATGGAGCATTTAAGGATCTCTGGTGCTAGGTACCCTGGGGTCCCACACAACTCTGGGGAGAGAGGGCTGAGATTGATGGATGCCACCAGCTAACTCACTCCAGACCTCTGCTGGAGCCTCAACCCTGCCAGGGCCATAAGTGTTCCCATTCTGTTCCTGCCCACCCTCCCCTAAGGGCTGACCTAGCCCCTATCCCTGCTGAACAACTCAAGTATGCCCCAAGGTTCCTGGAGGCCTTCCTGGGAAAACCTGATTTTCAGATTGACTTCAAAGTCCTACCCCACCGTATCTTTTGCCACCTCCAACCCACCCAGCCACTCCTTACACAACCTTTTGTCACATTTTTATGTACATAATACAGAAAACAAATCTTCACTCTTTTCTGTTTCTTTCTGCCCAAATCGATTCCTCCTCCTATGATCGCTATTTTTTTAAGATTTATTTATTTAAGAGAGAATGAGAGCACGAGAAGGGCGAGGGTCAGAGGGAGAAGCAGACTCTCCGCTGAGCAGGGAGCCCGATGCGGGACTCGATCCTGGGACTCCAGGATTGTGACCTGAGCTGAAGGCAGTTGCTTAACCAACTGAGCCACCCAGGCGCCCAATCGCTATTCTGTGTAGTGGAATCACCACTCAAACCCAAGGAGAATGAGTGGGAATATGGGATTTCTTAAGGCACACACTAGGTAAGTCCCTTATTTAAAACCTTTCCCTGGCTGTCCCCCCCCATATGGCCTCAGGCTCAAGTCTAGCTCCTGCAGCACAGAGCCCTCCACGACTTGATCCGAGTGTGTTGTTTGTAGCTGCTTCTACCACTTCAGGCACCAATTCTTCCATCCCAGCAATTGCTGAATTGTGGCATACTTCCAAGAAATCTTAATAGGCCTTAATAGGCCTGACCCCCGGGAAATTCATTCCTATAAAAAGTATTTAAGAATGCCCACCACGTACCAGGCACCATACTAGATGCCAGTGAATTAGGTGTGCCCTTACCATGCTGTCTACCAGAAAGCAAACAAGAAATAATAGAGTAAGAGGTGTGTCCTGAAGGGAGAAGATATAAGAAGAGAAAGCAGGGGATCTAACCCAACCTGGAGCTTTAAAGGGAAACCTGAATTCCTAAAGCCAAGGGCAAGGGTTGTGTGGGGCAGGGGCAAAGATGGTTCCAGAATGGGGAAAAGTGTATGGGGAAGCCCAAAGGGAAACAAAGCACAGCATCTGCAAGACAAACGTGTTAAGTCCATCGGTTACGAACATGAGCTCTGGAGTTGGACTGTCCCAAGTTCAAGTCCCAGCTACCTGACTGTAGGCAAGTCCCCTTATCTCTTTAAGCCCATTTATAAAATGGTGATCCAGATACTATCTCAAAGAGTTGTCGAGAGGATCTAGAGAACCCAGCTGTATAAAGATTTAGTGTGGTGCCAGTGAACGTTAGCTGTTAATAGCACAACGCAAAGCCACTGAGGGAGAGAAAGTAGGATGTTAACAGCTCTGAGGAGTCCAGCAACTTTGTGAAGTTTTCCATGTCCACTAAAAATATTTCTGTCACAACAAATGGATTAACATTGGGTGCAGCAGCTGAGCACCACTGTCTGGCTACAGCAGGCTCTTCCTAGCACCTAAGCAGCACGCTGTGGTCCTGTCTGCACCAAAAGCCAAACACACAGCTGAGGCCTGTTATCCCCTCTCCCCCATCTTCCTCAGGGGACAGGCCCAGCTCCGGAGCCCCGTCCTCTGTGGGTCCCTCCAGCTGAATCAGGTGCTCCTCCCTCCTGGCTTCCCCTTGCATGGTTCCTTGCCTGCTATGTACCACGACCCGCACACTTGTCTCTGTCCCCCCCCCCGCCCAGACCAGGAAGCCCACTCTGAGACGCACACAAGGCTTTGCACACAGAGGGTACCTGGCAAGTGCTCACTGACTTCTCCCCTTTTCTTGGTACCTGGGTACTTGATTGTCAGACCCAGCTAACCAGCCTCAGGCCTGGGTCTCCTTCCCTCCCAAGCCTCTTAGGGCACCAAGCCCCCTCACCTCGAAGCTTCTCGCCAGGTTCCAAGTGGCAGGAGAACCCAAAATCTGAAAGTCGGATCTGCATATTGTCATCTAGGAGAATATTCTCGGGCTTCAGGTCTCGGTGTACAATGTTGTTGGCATGGAGAAAGCTCACTGCTTCCAGCAGAGACCTCATGATGGACCTGGGGGAGGCGCAGTCTCCTCCTCTGCTTCTCCCTCCCTACCCCGCCCCGCCCCCTCATCACCCCATGGACTGCAGGCTCAGTTGTTACCTGGTTTCCTTTTCTGAGAGGGCCACCTTCTCTGTGAGGTAGTCAAACAGCTCTCCCTTCCGCATCCTAAGGGAGAGGAGGGGTTGGGAGGTAGGTGCACCTTACATGGGGGCTGAGAAAACAAGCCAGCGCTCACAGAGAATACCACGGAAGAGGCCGGTGAAGAGAGAGTCCTCTTTGTTTTTTCTTGAGCGATTAGAGCGCTCCAAGAGTGAACTGGATGCCAGGGGGTTGGCAGTCAAAATATATGCACTCTGCCAGGAGGGTGCTATGTTAGCAAGATAAGTGCCTTCTTGGAACAATAATTTATAGGAGGTCCTCATTATCTGAAACTAATTATATTCAAAGAGGGCCTTTTAAAGTGACTCTATTTAGACCATGGACCGAAATTTCACAGTTAGTAACAGCAAAAAAGTTGAATAGCACTTTATTTTTATCTTGTCTTTAAAAACTGAGTTTATAATTACAACTCCACATCAATCCTTGAAATCAGGTGGTGTTTGGGGGCATATAATTGTTCTGCAAAATTGCATGATAAGGTGACAGACACTTCCTACCTCCCCCCCGACAACTTTTGCAGAGGGTCATTCTGTATGCAGACTTTGTGAAATTTTTCTAGGGGTCTCTTAAATATTTGCTATTTAGACCATTCTCTTTTGAAGTACCTTTGCACTGGTTTACGTTATATTGTAGAACATCTCACACTCAGATTCAGACTAACCAGGAGATGAACTGATGGGCAGAGACAAACACCATGTAGGGTGTTAAACAGCAAGAGACAAGGGAGCGAGAATCTGTTGTTAAGTGGTCAGCTCTTCAGTCTTCCCTGCCAATCTTATAACCGTGGGGGACTGGGACAGTGACCCCAGGGGGTCATGAAAACCCTTTCTAATTGGCTGGTCATGAACACTCTGGAAGAACTTGCCTCATCAGGGCACCTGGGGAGAGGGGCCCGAGCCTCGGGCACACAGGAAAGTGTGAGCAGGTTAGTCTTAGCCCACTGTGCTGTCAGGCTGGGGCCACACACGGAGGGGAGGAGGAGGAAGCTTCTCAGATCAGGGCAGGGAGATACTCACAGGTCAAACACCAGGAACATGAAGCTAGAAGACTCGTAGGAATCGATGAGAGTGACTGGGAAAGAGGCAGAAAGGCAGAGATACGGAGATGGAAAGGAGCGGATACATGTTAAACGGGCTTTCCACCCCGAGGTGGCAGTGGGCTGTTACTGGGAAGGAAGGAGAACCAAAAGGAGGCAGTAGGGACCCAAAGGCTGGCCACACTTTGAGGTGGAGTGGAGCCATGACGAAGGGAGCAGAGGCGTGGAGGCAGTGTTGGGGGAACTGGGCTGTGGGCAGGGCCAGGAGGTGGCTGTCAGCTAACAGGAGCAGGGAATGCAGCCTCACTGATGTGGGGGTGGCCGGCGACCTGGCG